ATAAGTATGACTATGTTCCATGTAACTGTCCGCACGATATCTAGAACAGAGGATTATACGATCCCTTATCTGAAGGATAGGTTATTGATAAGATCAAGAGTTTTGAGAACTGCGATTGCTAATCGGATTCAGAAGGTGCTTTTGCATTTATAGTTATTAGACTTATCCAAGTGGGAGACTGTTGGATTAGTGTTTAAGTCCATAACTGTATTTGGTATGTACTTGACCCAGTTGTGCATGGTCCTTTTGGGTTGCCTTCACCAAAGCAACTTAACTGGAGGAATAATATAGAAAGAGGTGATTATGGCTTATTAATATATTATAAGGCTAATATATTAAAAGAGAAATCATATTTGTTTAATTAACATTAGTCACTAATTAATTAAGAATTAGTTTTGTGATCAAAAGAAGTTAATTGAACTTAAGGGGCTAAACTATAATTATGTGATAGTTAAAAAGTTGGGTAAGGAAACCCTAATAGATAGGGTGGACGAATTCTAGGGATAAAGCCTTAAGAATTCGTCAATGATAGGGATTCTAGAATTATCCTTGGGTTGCTTGGTGGCTAAGTAACCAGATAAGGATAATCACTGAAACCCTAATTCCTACACCTATATAAAGGACCCCTAGACATGTGAATTTCAGCCACTTGAACCCTAGAAGTCTTAGAGCCGAAATTCTCCTCTCCCCTCTCGCTCTTGTTTCCTCCAGTTGCTGTTGGTGTTTGTGATTCACTAGAGGCACAACACTTGAGGTGCTAAAGTTCTCAAGGCTTCAAGATCTTCAATCAACAACAAGGTAAACATCTAGATCTGTTTTTGTGATGTTAATTTCGATTATATACACTAGATCTAGGGTTAGAAAGTCTTGGATGAATTGCATGTACAATAGAGAAACCTAGATCCAAGCATTAGGGTTTGCATGAGCACATAGGATGTTCTTTTGGTTCAAACTCATCATAATCTAACTTAAAATGCATTTTCTAATCTCTGATGATCATTTATTATTCAAAGAAGCAAGTCAAGTAAATTCAATTTGGTCATTATAGTGTTTTGAAGCTTATATAGAGATTATGAATTCATTTTTTTGACTTTGAATGTAGTTGTGCTTTGGTATGGATCGACTGGAAAAGTAATCTATGTCACAAAACTAATTTAGAATATTCTCATAATTAATCAAATTAAAAAGCCCCTTTATTGCCGAGGTAAAATTAACCATTTTTTTTTAATTTGTTTTTTGTGGGTCGTAGGCTCTTAAAGCATCTTGTAAGAGCTTTTTCAAACCAAAAACTATTCGGAGAGTTTTTTCAAACAAAAACTTTACGATGAGATTATTAATTAACAAACTCTTGTTATGAGTTTTTTCAAAGATTTTGTGAGTTTTTTTTATATTTTCAATAAATAGATCATTTTGAAAACAATAATAAAATAATAAAAACAAGAATAATAAATCCCATAAATGATCAATTTTTAAAAACTCTCAAATTCTAAAATAAACCTTTGTATGAAAAAAGAAAAAACAAAAAACAAAACTTTATTTTGTTTTCTCAATTTATGGATACTATGGTGAAAATTTCTTAAATTTTGCCTAATTTTTTTTAAAAAAAAATCTATTTTTGTCTTTTTCTCTCAAAGGGCCAAAGGGGACAAACGGGTAGTAAAAGCTGAATCAAATTCGAAGTCGTTACAGAGAATGTTATAATTCCATTCGTCATGATCAATGAGTAATGCTGATGTGATTATGTGAAGCAACAAATGTAGTTTGGGTGATAAACCCTAGAAAAAATATTCAAAATTCGTGTAAAATTTTGAAGTAATCCTTCGCACATTTCAGCAATCTATAACCATGTTTCAGAATGAAAATCAATTTCCCAAAAGACTAAGAACATCTGAACCGATGCCAAATCGAAGAACTCAATACAAGACTGAACCGTGTTTGAGATTTCAAAGGGGTACTTGCGATTACGGTGATCGCTGTTGCTTCGCCCATGGTTATGGACATCTCAGTGGATTCGCCCATGGTTATGGACGCCCATGTTTCAAAGCTGGAAGTCCTTTGACTGCGCTTGACGGGGCTTCTCGTATCAAATATATGGATGAAAATCAAAACCCTAAATGTAGCGATAGATCGAGATTATGCTGGAGATTCATGAATGGCGACAAATGTCAGTTTGGGGACAAATGTCATTTCAATCATATCAAAACTGAAAGAGAGAGCGCTGTTATAAGCGTTTTGAATGTGGCTGGAAGAAGTGAAATGCAGCAACAAAAGAAAACGCCATGGAGGACAAAGCTGTGTAACAGGTGGATGTCGACTGGTAGCTGTCCATACGGTTTCAAGTGTTGCTTTGCTCATGGAGAATCAGGTATCTCCATTCATATTCCTTATCTAATCCTCTCAACGTTTTTGAATGATTTTGGGGTCTTTGGATGTGCGATTGACTTCAGTTTTACTCATTTTTCTTACATCAAGTTAATCATTCGTCTCCCCTGTGTTCATCAATGTTTTAATGTCCGAATTCTAAACAAAATGGCACCATTTTTCCAGTTTTGTTCACTGATTCTTGCCTTTACCCTTCACAGAATTGCGGAAGCAAAGATCCAACGATGCACAAGCTTATGCAGAGAATGCACCATGCGACAAAAAAATTGATGGAAAACAGTGGGAATTCAAGTGGAAAAATGTTGAGAAAATTGGTCGCGTTTATGCTGATTGGATCACTGATACACCACTTGTTCATGTTGTAACTGGCAATTTAGCAAGCTAAGTTTTACTTTTCATATTAGGTTTTAGAAATTTTGGTGTAATCACCTTACTCTGTTTCTTGCTTTAATGAAAATCTACTTAGCTGATTTAACTCATTAAGAACATTCTTCTTATAAATATTTCTTTATAACTTATCCAGAATCACAAATGGTATCAAGATCTCTATTCTTAGCAATACACAAACCACTAATGCACCAATTATCCATTTCCTTCTATGTTAAGAACCTTCTGTAGAAGATTGAGCAATCTTAATGGTTGACCTAGCTAAAGAATCCAAAGGGTCAACACATTTTTTCAACAACGGATCATCATGTGGCAAAATTTCCCTCAAATCATCAGATGCAAGAATGATCATGTTCACAGCTCTCACAAGAAGCACCTGTAAAGCAATTCTCAACAGATTCTGTGCTCCTTCTACATCTTTTCTTCTTATTGCTTCCATTGATGGAATTATCGTGTGTTCCATTGTAGCTTTATCTGGCACCACAACCTCAAAACCCTGGATTTACATATACAAATTCATAGCAATTTAAGAAAAAAAAAAAAACTTTTTTTGTCAATTATAACTATGAAGGTTAGTAGGTTACCTCTTTTTGAAGTTTTTCTTGATAGAATCCTGCTTTTAGGGTTTCATTGGTGGCAAGAACCCCAATTCTCAAAGGACTTCCAGCTTCTAATGGTTTTAACTTAGCTTCTTTAAGCTGTTTTGCAACACATTCACCCATATGTAGTATAGGAACAGAAGAATCTTTTGAAACTTGATCATACCATGAATGTGATATGTGACATGGCATCACAATACAACGAGCTCCAGATTTTTCAAGGAAAACTCTTTTTTGTCTCAAAATTTTCACAATTTGAGTTTGATCATTCACTTGTAGGCTCTTGTTTAGAATTGGATCTGAGCAAAGAACAAAGGGGAGGCCATTTTCGTCCTTTTTAACCTCGTTGCTCATGTTAACGAGCTTTTTTATGAAATTAAGTGTGGCATTGGATGACACTCCTCCAATTATTCCCACAGAGTAGTTCAATGTATGAAGGGACATCTTTTCCTATGAAATTGCTTTCATGGAATAGCAAGAACTTCATGAACAAAGAAGTTCCTAATTGAAGAACAAAAAGGAAGTAATTTTATGAAACTAAAAGCACTTAAAGAAAGAAAGAAATCTTGTCAAATGAGGTCCATTAAAACAAATAAGAAAATGTATGTGTGTTTGGAGGGTTTAATGTGGAAGGAATCTTTATGAGTGTTTGTTCTATCTATTCACCTTTTCAACTCGTTAAGAAAAGTGTTATTCATAATCACTAAAAAGTGTAGTGAGTGACTAAAAAACAAAGAAGAAAAGGATGAATTTTGTTGTGTTGTTTTCATTTTTCAAGTTGGTGTAGGAGGTGTGGAGGGTGCAAGGTCAAGTAGTCGTTTTCAAACAGAAATGATTTATTAGTTAGTACATGCATGTGGTATTTATTAAAAGATGGCATATATTAATTGGTTGTTTGTACACAATGATGCATGACTAATTAACTATAGGGACACTAATAACTTGGTTGCATGTTTTGAAATGCTATGCAAAAATACATGCATTACAAACGATCATATATAATACTATTTATTACCAACAATTATAAAATTATAAAAGGAAGAATAATGTTTTATTATTATTATTTAATTTATATACTTTTTATTTGGCACGAATAAAATTACGTGGTTACTTTTTGATACCATGGCTTGGTTCCTTGGTGGTATACTTGTCAACGGATAAATCACAATTAAAGAGTTTCAATCTTAAGGTTATTTGTTATACTCATCATGGGTGTCTATGTCACATCATCATATTTCCTACCACTAACCGTGAGATAAATATCACTAAATTCACCACTCAACATCATTTTTTAATAAATTTAATTCAAAAATACATAAAAAAAAATAATGTTTTTTTAATAGTAGTTTTCATTAAATTAAAATACCACATTACATTAAAATAAATTACATTAACTAAAAAAAATAACAATAAAAATAAAACACGTAAAAATACCAAACATAACTAAAAAAACTACCCCCTATTCCTATATCGGGTTTCCGGTTTCGATAGTTTGGAGGAGTATTTTGGTTGATATCTATTTTTGTTGGTTGTGAAAATGTTATGTGTATATTGTGTAATATAGAGAAAGAAAAGAATGGTGTAAGAAATGAGAGTGTATTGTATGGTTTTTATAGGTAATTTTTTTGTTTAAAAAAAATTGAAAATTTAGCCGTTCATAGGCAGTCAACACGGTCGAATGCATTGTTCTCCTCCTATTGGTCGTCCTCTCTCGTCGTATGAAACACGATGCACCACGAAAACGATGCATCACGATCGGCCGACATGGTATGAACGGACCACGATCGTGGCCAGCTAGACCACGAAGCCGGTCGTGCTAGGCACGCGATGGTCTAATATAAATCGGGCTCTCTTATTCACAGTGTGCCTTTATACCAATCACCCAACAAACCATTGTATACCTAAATTACTTCATGCTCCTACAACAAAATAATGTGGGCCACTTCATAGGTTCCAAAAGGATAACCCTTTTGTTTGACCAAATGTAAAATGAGACTAGTTACAAAATTAACTGGTTGATCTTCCATACGATGCAGCGGAAAGTTTATATATATGTGCATTAGCCAAAAGATAATTTATAAAAAACTGCGCATTTATTGTTTATTTATACATGCATACTAAATATGATACATGGATGTTGTGATTATAAAAACAACTGTCGAGAAAAAGTTAAAAAAAAAAAAAAAAAAAAAAATCTAAAATTTTCAAAAAAAAAAAAAAAAATGCAAAAGTTGTCAAATTCACAAAAGAAAATTTTTAAAAAACCTACAAAGTTAAGTTATAAAAAAAAGATGGAAAAAATTATAAACAATGTCTAGATGAATTTAAAAAAAACACACCTGTTAAAAAATACAGTATATAAATTGTAAAAAGTTGAGGAAAGATAGTGAAAGAGTTTGTATCAGATATGGTTATATTTAAAGTTGGGCCAAAATGATAATAAAAAAATCTAGAGAAACTGTAAAAGCATTTTGTATCAAATTTGCAAAAAAATTTAAAATTTGGGTCAAAGATGTAAATAATGAAAGCATGGGAAAGATCATAGTCGCTATCAGACAAAAAAAATTAAAATAAATAAACATGTGTTTGTACATTTTGCATTTCATACATTTGGTTTTCTCGCACCAACGTCGGTGGAGCTTCTCAAGAGAGTCCAACAGGTCATGCATTCTAATGTCATATCTTCTATATCCACAGATGTTGTTTTCAAAAGAATTAGTTTTGTCATCCAGAAAGGGCTAGCGGCGCAGTTTATTGTCCATTTGCCTTCCATCGATATGTATTGACCTATATTACTCCATTTATGTAAATATAGAAGTTTTTAATAAATAAATAAATAAATAAGTGAATGGAAGACAAAACAAGTATGTCATCTATACTAGTTTATAACCTATAAGAATCACGATTATAAAATTAATTAAATTTTCATAACAAAAAACTTAAAATTATTAATCAACTATTTTAAATAAATTATTAAATAAGAGATATTTTTTTAGTTATATAAAATTATAATCATTGATTTAAATAAATACGTGAAATTATAGCAAATAAATTTGTAATTTAATATGCAAACGTCCAGTTGAGATTAATGGAGGCAGCATATCATATATTTCGTTAAATAAAAAGATTGGCAAGGACAACTCAACAATGACCCAATCATTGATTATGAAGAAGTTAATTTGATGCCTGCTTTAATTGAGACAAGTTCACCGCTCATACTTTCAACAACTATAGAAAGCTTGACACCTGTTAGAAGATCTGTATATGGTTTGAGGAGAAAGGGTTTGTAAAATTTCTCTAATTTCACCTCATAATTGTTAAGTGGTATTAACTTAGCTTAGAAGACTGCACCAAATTGTTTGATTGTATATTTGTGAAGAATGATTCATGGCTTTTATTTGATTCACGGTTTAATAGAAAAAAGTTAACTTGCTGCTGTTGCCATGGATTTACTCACAACTTCGACTGCCAATATTTGTTGTTGTGGTTATGTATTCCACGGGTTCTTTTAGTTTCACATCATGTAAGTATCATTCATGTCTTCTATTTTAAGGATTTACCACCTGTTGTAAAAATGGGTAAATAAAGCCATGAAATTGAAAAGAGGACAACATATACTTGTTGTAAAGGGGATTGGTTATTGAAACATAACTTAGTTTCACAAATTTATTCATATTAATTGGATATATTGTAATCATGTGCTTTTGCTACTCAATCACATTGAAGATTATCAAACTACTCTGAACTTTCCATTTGGATTGATGACATGATTTCATATTTCCCATAAGTTATCTTTGATTTTCTTTTTGATATTCATGTTCTAGATTGAGTACTAATACTCTATCAAACATGTAAACTTTACCGATGAAGTGAGAAGACGTTTAAACCTTTTATGTATAAACCATAGTCACCCATATCTTCGTGATCCAGGCATATTCTAATATTTTTATGATTATTAAAATAATACTTCATGGTTATTGGGTATTTTGGATGATATAAAAAATGAAAAACTATTTTTTCTATTTTCTTTATTTATACAGGTGGGATTTTTAATTTACTTGCAATCTTTAGTTGGCTTATACTTGAAAGGTAATGACACTTCTTGCTGATTAATGTTGTTCGTAATTTTAGTAAGTTGGAATTATTACAAATAAAATTTGATATTTTCATTCACAGGAAATTAAATCATATATGATATAATTGAATAATGTGAAAAATATGTTCAAATTAAATTGAGTTGAGAAGATAATCTCTATATGTGGTCGAAGATACACTTGCACAACCTTACTCTTATTTCCGTAAACCCATACTATAAATGGGCTCAAAACGGATTCTGCAACTATAAGTTTCAATTTTTACCTATTATTTGGGGTATTTCTTCTTTTTAAGTAGATTGGCTTTCCATTGTTTCAGTTATATCTTATATGAATGCAGGTTGTCAACGTGAATGAATTTCAAAGGAAAGCTACAAAAGGGTTATTTCACTTTGAAATCGACAATTCGTTCCGTTTTTTAAAAGAAAACAAAATTTTCCTTTAAGTGCTGAAAAGATTTGGTGTTTATTGTTCCACTTTGGAAGTTAATCAGGGTAATTTTTGTGATAAAGTTGATGAAAATTATAGATCTTAGGAAACTAGAATCACCTGCAAATTATAAAATTGATATATGTTACAAATGTTGATGATTCTTTTGTTAAATAATTGTTTTGCAGACTTCATAGAGATCAGAATCTTGAGATGGCTTCAAAGAGGATTCAAAAAGAGTTGAAGGACTTGCAAAAGGATCCACCTGCTTCTTGCAGTGTTGGTTATTTATTTTATTTTTTATTTTTTGTATATGAAGCTTTTGTATTTGAAGTTGTTTGTAGTTTATTCTTTTTAGTTGAGGAAGACATGTTCCATTGGCAAGCAACCATAAAGTGCCCATGGAAAGCCCTTTTCCCGATGGAGTATTTCTTGTGTCCATTAATTTTCCACCGAAATACCCTTTCAAGACACCAAAGGTACTACAATCTCTAAATTATATCGTTTAACTTTTACAAGAATGTTTTAGAAATTTAGTAAACTTCATACTATACTTTATAAAGAAGACATTTTTCCAATCACCTCGTGCATTTGAAACCCCCACACAAATTTTCAATCATCTCATGTATTTGAAACCTCCACACATTTTCACCTTCAAAATAAGTAATCACACATCACACACTTTATATAACTGAAATTTTGAAGCTACGAATGGAACTATGGATGGTGAATTTAGAGCATGTCATGAACGAAAAATTGATTTTGCTCCTACGTACTTATAAATATGTTCCCACTTCTGATGAAAATTTGGCAAGAATGATGAACATTACATTTACTAATGTAGAATACAATAGATAAATATTACATTTACAATTTTAAAAGAATAATCATTTTGCATTATTTATAAGCATAAATTATTTGTAAATAAAAAATATATATACTATTTGATCATGTATAACCCTTATGTACAACCTATTCACAATAGATTGAAACATATCAATTATAATGTAATAATTTTGTTAATTGCATTATGTTAGTATCTCATTTGAAAATCATGACTTCTCAATTAAACATTACATTTACAATATTAACAGAATAATCATTTTGCATTATTTATTAATATAGATTATTTGTAAATCAAAAAATATACATACTATCATATTCACAATAGATTAAAACATATCAATTATAATGTAGTAATTTTTTTAATTGCATTATGTTAGTATCTCATTTGTTTTAAAATCATGACTTCTCAATTAAACATTACATTTACAATATTACCAAAATAATCATTTTGTATTATCTATTAGTATAAATTATTTGTAAATCAAAAAATATACACACTATTTAATCGCATATAACATTTATGCACAACCTATTCACAATCGATTGAAGCATATCAATTATTAATTATAATAATATAATAAGTTGTTAATTGCATTATGTTGGTATCTTATCTTATTTGTTTTAAAATCGTGACTTCTCAGTTAACTATGTGCTTAATTACTCCACCTAAAAATGCATTTATAAGTAATGAATAGATGAATATTTTAACCTTCAATTTTTACTTTTTTTTTAACGGCCGATTAGTTGTTAGATGTTAAATTCACAAAGTTAGTAAATTCGCATATGTCTGGGTTTGAACCCAAGACCTCTTGTCTAAGAGGCTTCCACCTCTACCAAGTGGGCTAGTCTCACATTGGCTCAATTGTTACTTAAAAATATTAAATAACTACTAACTGACATTTCCATGATCAAAATAAATAAATTTACCTTTCAAACTTACCTAAGGCAAAATATTATTTGCGTCTTTAATACTCCAAATAATAAAAAAAACATTTGTACATAGTGGGAAGATAAATATTATAACCTCCTGTTGTTAGTTAAGAATATTAACTAACTATTTAACTGCTCATAGAACAACAAAAACCTTTCATATTTCCTTGATGAAAGTAAATAAATTTATAAATTTTCTTTATAAGTCATTAAAGTAAAACTATTATTTGGCTTTTTAGTTACTCCATCTAAAAAATAACGTAACTCATGAGTAGAAAACTTAATTATTATTAAAATCATTGAAGGCCATAAATGCTATAGAATAACTAGATGTCAAAAATAATATTTATTATCTCAATTACATCATAATTAATGTATTGTTGGTGGAAAACATAAAATTCTAGAAAACAATTCCAAATTGATGATATTGTCGAGTTTATAAATCGAAATTGGAATTTTAGTTTAATTAAATGATTATAAGAAGTTATAGAGTTTTGACATTAAAATTAACATTCAATGTTAAATATATTGTTAATATAAATAGTGAACTTCACCTACATAAAAAACTACATTTCTGTTAGCAAGTTTCACCGATGGCATATATGAACATAAGTGACCTTAATCCATCAAAAAATGATTGGATTATCCAAGTGCGATTGTATAGGATGTGGGAAGCAGTCAATCATAAAAATGATAACAACATAGGCCGGTAACTCAGCCTCTCCTTCACCGCCCTTAACGGAGTTAACCATAAAGAAAAGTAAAATTAAGATCTCATGTTAATTATCTTCTTTGTTTATCCACATATGACACACGAGAGCTTCACTTCATTTGATATATCTCTTACTGTAAGTAATCTCTATCCTCTCTCACTCTTGCAATAGTTTATAATAAACAACCCTAATCTTATACGGTAATAATATATGGATCCACAAATTGTATAGGGTCAGATCTATGTGAATTTTTAATGCAAACATTACACTTTCAGTCTCTATGGTTTGCTCAATGTTGCATATTGCATCTAACCACATTTTCTCTTACAAATACAATTATTACTTCCATAATTCCCACTACAACTCCTCACTTTTCTATTTTACATTTGTTTTATTTTAATTAGTCTATTTTATATTAAATTGTTCAATTACGAATATAATTAATTATTTTTATTGTCGTGTAATGTTTTTATTTAATAAGATTCTAATATAAATTTATATTTATATTATTAAATTTGAACTAAGTAATATTAAACAATTAATCAAATCGTGTTAATTAAAAGATTTAATTGCTAATTAAAAAGTTAATATATTTATAATATATAGAATTTCGTTTAAATAAATATTTTATTAGATTTAATTTTCACATATAAGTTCAAAGAAGTTTATGTCTATCCTTATAATATTATTTATATCATATTTATTTGAGACTCTCATAATTTTTATAAGGCTTTTTATTATTGATTCTAAAGTGATTCATTAATATAATATAATTGCAGAAAAACAATATACCTAAACTTTAGTATCTAAATCATATTGATAATAATATGTGGTTTTTAAAAGTCTTTTATAATTTTTTTTAGTAATAGTTATAATTTTAAACTAATAATAATTTTTTTTAGTAATAGTTATAACTTTAGTATCTAAATCATACGGCCACAAATGAGAACTCATATTTAATCAGTTATCGAATAATTACATTAGATACTAATGTGTACATAAACATTACATTAATTATAATTTTAAACTAATAATAATTTTGCATTATTTATTAGTATAAATTATTTGTAAATCAAAAAATATACATACTATTTAATCGCATACAACCTTTATATACAACCTATTTAGAATAATAGATTAAACCATATCAATTATAATGTAATAATTTTGTTAATTACATTATGTTAGTATCTTATTTGTTTTAAAATCACAACTTCTCAATTAACCATATGCTTAAAAAGAATGTTAACTATTTATTTTACCATAATATATATATATATATATATATATATATATATATATATATATATATATAACCATATTAAACTACATATTTATTCCATTGCGTAAAGCGCGGACATTCGCCTAGTTATTTACATATTGGTGGCAGGTTTCCTTCAGAACCAAGGTTTTCCACATGCACCAATGTTGGCTGCTATTCAAGGATAAGTGTCATCGATGGTGAGTAATGTTTATATGAATAAGGTGAGATGAATTTTTATAAATTTTAGAGTGATTTACATTTTTGGTCTTTGAGTTTGTTCAAAAGTTTCAGTTTTGCTCTTAGATAACGATTTTGCTCCCTGTCGGAACCAAAACTACAAAAGGAAACTATTTTACAACAATTGAAAATACTAGGCATCAAATTTGCAAGAGAAAATTATTTTGGATGAAAAACAAAATTTTTTGAACAAACTTAAGGACTAAAAATGTTAGACAAAACTGCAAAAATGGTCCCTATGGTATGCATTTTTTCTGAGGTTTTGTCTAAACATCGACTTTCTGGTTTCATGGTCCTTTTGAGGTAGTTTGTTTCTGAAAATAGTCCCTACTAAACTTAAAAAGACTAATCTACCCTTTTAATTTGTTTTTTCTATTTTCTTAAAACATTTTTCCTTTTTATTTAAAATTTTAAAACTAAAAACAAATAAAGAGGGCCTCTCTCTCTCTCTGTGTGTGTGTGTGTGTGTGTATATATATATATATATATATATATATATACTTGCAAGTTTCAATAAAATTTTGATATATAAAACTGGGTAAAGACGATGAACCTCAAAGGCACACTCCCATTTTCTCATTTACTTTCTAAACACTAAAATAAATTAAACACATATCAAATTCGAGTAGGCATTGAAGAAATTAAACATCATCGCCCCTTTATATCCTTTGGCCATGGATCTGCCCTCACCCCTCTTTACATCTCAGTCCAAATCCCAAATCGTAATACTCCCATTCACCATCTTTAAAATCTTGCCCTAAACCAGCCAAATATCATGGTGTAATACTGAACTATGCCAAGAATAGAACCATAAAAAACTTTTTAAGTTTATAATTCCTTTAAATTAAGGGGCGTTGGGGACAAATCAATTTTTGGAGTTACCTTTTATCTAGTATCAACAACTTGATACTAAAAAAAAAGAAAAAGATCTTTCGCAGACTAGAGATTTCTTGTAAAAACACTAGCCCCACTACCACTAAATTTATAATTAGAATATTGAAAGCTTCTTATTATTTATTAGATATATGATTTGATTTTCATTATGCACATAAGGGAGGGGCCGTATGAGATGAAAATCTCACGTACGGTTCTGTATCTGTAACATATCTGTAACAGATAACATACAAAAGCTTTGGAATATTCTTATCAGGCATTCATGGTGAAGATCCCAACATGATCTACTCGGTCAAGTCTGATTAAAGCACTCCAAACAACCCAAGAAAAGAAGCAACGGGTACTACTAGAATGAAATCAACATCTAATTTCATTTCTTAGGTCTGGGTAGGGATCCAATTCTCTTATAGAAGAAATGGATTGATATGGATTTTTCCCAGCTGCATTGTCATCATCTCACTTCCTCTTCATGACAGAAAAGGAGAAGTTGCTTGACTCAGTGTACGAGGTTAAT